AAAAAAAAAAAAAAAATGGGGGGCCGAAAAATGAGGCCCCCTCTACTTTTGGGCCTGAGGCATTGGCCTCACTTGCTTCGGCCCAAAACCGGCCCTGATTAGGGTCGGATTATACTTAAGAATGTATTCATTTTTCTCTCTTTTTTCACTCATTTCTACCAGCCCTATTTTTTCTGGCTTGGCCATGTAGAATGCCGAGCCATTCCCCTTTCTTTACAATACCAATCCAAGCAAAATCAACAGATATAAATTTATTTGGTGATTAAAAAATAGTAGATGGATTCGAGCTCCCGAAAGCCAATTGTTGAAACAAATATCAATTCTCAAGATTGGGCTTACCAACCACTTCACCATCTCTCGAAGGGGCGCTTTTTATTTTGTTCATTAGGGGGATAGATACCACTGACATTTGTTTTTATTTTAAATTAATAAGTTTTATTTTAGTTGAGATATATTATTTATTTATTTTCTACAAACATCTATATTTAGGTTTAGTACAGCATATAAGAAGTGTTGGTTGTTTGAAAAACAATTGAACAATGCTTTTGTCTTGGATAATGTTATTCGTACATTCAAATTGTGCATTGTTGTTGACATTATGTATTGTGTAAAAAATTTGATCATTGATTTGAATAATTATTATTTGTTTTTGGCTCGGGCGGGAGGGATAGATAACGAATGGAAGGCGGCGATGAGTACAAAAATAGGCAAGTTAAATGGATAATAGAATTATATAAGCCGACGAGGCTTCAATTATATAAGCCGACGAGACTTCAAGCATTTTCAATATATTCAATATCAAGTTAGGGCAAACCATTGCTTACTTGAGAAGTAGAAAATCGACAAAAATTAAGGAATCACACCCTATTCCACCATCACATCTCACTAGCCTGAAATCAAAAGTTCACATTAACCACGGCACCAATACCATCACTTTCTTAAGCTATGAAATTTACCTTTTTTAATCAATAAAATGGTTAAACCACATGGAATTGGGAATTAGGTTATTAAATGGAAAGTTTAAAGAAACAATAAATGCACTAACTTAAGGAGACTGACCATATTTGCAAATTAATTGTGATATAAACGAGTTTTGGAAGATTAAGAAGCAATATATAAATCATTTATACCACTAAAACTGATTGAACGGCAACAATTATATAAAATAAGAACACGAGTAGCCTTCCTTTCTCTGTGCTGAAAGGAAGATTGGCAAAAAAAAAAAGGTTGACATTCGCTTTAGCCTTCATATATATCTAAAAGAAACATCAGGTTCATACAAAAATCTTACCAAAGTTTATGGCTTTTGAATTTTTTATAACAGCCAAAAATAATTCCAAATTCTGTATCTACCAGTGATCAGATTATTCACAAAATAATAAACCAAAACTAATGAAAAGAATAGCACTCTAGACATTTTAGTCAAATCAGATTGCTTAAATAAACAAATATATGATACCATGTTGAGCAAATAACTCGAGAATAATTTAAAAATTTTAAAAATATCTGACGATAAATTCAAAACCCACTAAAGAGTAACCCTAGATCTGGAGAAAGGATTTTCAAATAAGTAAAATAGTACGAAATGGGAAATCAAATTATTAGAGTAATTGCCAAATATATAAAAAGAGATCTACACATGTCTAACATGATTATCTACAGGTTCTAGTGTGAGTGATTGAGTGAGTGAGTGGGTGGGTGGGTGTCTGTAGAAGAGAAAAAGAAGCTTACTGAGTGCGGCAGCAGCA